TGTTGGATCTACCCGCAGTTATTCAGTATCCTCTGAGTCCACAGGCACATGGAACGGATTCTTTGTGATTTAGAGAGACACGGCAAGATGAAATCTTACACAGCATCCAGGCTTCAGAACCCAATGAAAGACATTGTTCCACACCCAATCCTCAAAATTATGCAGGAGTGGGTTTTTTAGACATGCTCCTCTTTATAAAAATGTAATAGTAATTAATCATCTGTATTTTTACTAGGATTTAATAGTTTTCTAGGAGCTTTCAAAAGACAGTTTGTCTGAGCCTCAAAAACATCTTATGAAGGAGGTACCACTGTTATTTCCCTTTGGCTGAAGAGAAACCAGGCTTAAAGCTTGTGACATTTGTTCGAGGTTAAACAACTAGTCAGTAGCACAACCAGGATGTGAGCTTGTAGCTTTTGGAAGACGTTGAATTACAGTTGGCTCTTCTTATTCCTGGAGTTCTGCATAGGCAGATTCAATCAACCACAGATCAAAATATTTGGGAAAAAATGTTACATTATTGCTGACATATACTACATAGTTCCAGCCTCAGATGGTTCTGTCTGTACTGAAATTGCACAGACTTTTTTTCTTGTCACTTACATAATATTTACATTGTTTGCATAACATTTACATTGTTTTAGGCATTATAAGTAATCTAAAGATGATATAAAGTATACAGGAGGATGTGCAGGTGTCATATACAATTACTATGCCATTTTATGTAAGGGACTTGAACATCTGCACATTTAGGTATCCACGGGGGTCCTGGAACCAATCTCCCATGGCTGAAAGACAACTATAAAACACGTATGGCTCTGAGAATGGTGTTCTCATACATTGCTGAAGTTCAAGGGTTCTGGAAAGGCGGAGGCGGGAAGGAGGCTGCATACATTGGTAAAACTTTTCTGAAAAGTAGGAAACCCTGATATTCCCTTCCAGATAATAAAACTACAATGATCAAAACAGTTTCTATTAAGAGCTAGATCAATGATACAGAAGAAATAACCCAGAAATATACATATATTGTTTTTATATATACTAAGTTATATATACAAAGCAGTGGGTAAACTAGAGTCTTAAATAATTAATGTGAGAATCATTGGGAAAAGAATTTAAATTATAGGTTTAGTCCATGTTTTTATACTAAAATAAATTTCAATTAAACTAAAGTGGTAAATGTAAAAAAGGGAAATCATAAAACATTGAAAGTCACTATTAATTAGATGTCAGCAAGGGAGAGAAACAAGTGAAAAAAAACTGCAAAGTTAAGATCAATAGATAAAAGGGGAGCAGGGAAAAGGCAGGAACATAGGACCTATCAAGGTGTGAAGAGAATTCTTGTACAAACCCTTTTTTGGGGGTGGGTGGAGACATTTGCTCAAATTTCCCTTGAGTATATATACTTAGGAGTAGAATTTCTGGGTCATAGGGTAGGTGCACATCGAGCGTGATAAACCGGCAAACAGCTTCCAAAAAAGGTTATCTCCTTTAAAATTCCACCAGCAATGCATGAATGTGAGATGGAGATCTCACACTGATCACTTCCTTTACTGCCATAGCACAACCTTAATAAGGACTTCTTAAAGTATTGACTTTTAAATCTACTCAAATAAGAATAACAAAAATGAAATGAAATTACCTGTCTGGAAATTCTCCCGAAAGGCAAGAGCTAAGCTACTCAAGATCTGTAGCATCATCTGACAGGTTCTACTTGAGTTTTTCAGGACAGCAAAATACTTAATCAACCTTGGCACAGCTTTCAGTGAATGGAGCCACAGGGGATCAGTTTCTTTCTCTCTTTTTCTCTCTGTAACTTAAACCTCACAATGAGGAGGAGGAGAGGGAGGGAGCCTTAGAAATGTGTAGTTCATTTATAACGAGGACTTATTACACATTGCGTGTCCAGCACCTTGGACACAATGGTAAAGAGCAAAGATGTGCAAGATTCCATCCTTGTTCTGGAGTTGCTCATAAACCAGTTGGTGAATACAAGGTGGCAATTGTTTCTCTGCCCACCATGTAAAGATTGATGGTTTGGATTCTTCCCTTTGCCCTGTTTGTGTTCTATTCCTCACATTCTCCCTGGGTCATCTTGTCTGAGCCCATTATTTCAACTACCCACTATGCCCCCCTCCCAAATCACTACGCCTGGTCTGAGCTCACTTCTAGGCTCCATACCTGTTTTCCAAATACTTTCATCCTCAACTCCTCTCTAATACTCATAACTTACATATAATTCATCAGTAAATTTTGTTAACTTTGCCCTTATAACATAGCCAGGATCATACTATCTTTCACCTCTTCCTCCTCTATGATCCCTGTCTTAGCCACGATCATCTCCGATCTGCATTATTGCAATAGTTCTACCAAACCAGTATTGCTATCTTAATGCTGTGGCCTGCTCATTATCATTTCTCTTTCTTTGAATGGCCTTTGGTGAATGTAACCATCATTATCATTTCTCTTTCTTTGAATGGCCTTTGGTGAATGTAACCAGCAGAAGGTTAATCTAAGGAGAATTTGATAAAGGTTATTTACAAATGCGTGGACAAGCTTGAGGGAAACAAGAAGGAATGATGGTATGATGCTCTGAGGCTGTCAACAGAGAGAAGCCATTACTATACTCTAGGCCAAGAGAAGGAAGACTCCACCAGAACTAGGAGAGAGAACTGTATGAAGCGAGTCACTTGACAGAAGCCTCGGTAGGTGTACATAGCCAAACTGCAGGGACCTAGAACAGAAGGGATTACAGAATAACACCCTTACTTCGTCCTCCTCCTACTCTCTGATCTCCCCCAGATGCACTCTATTGGATAAATTCAATTGTAAGCCAGAGGATAAGAAACCCACTGAGGCAGTCCGTGCTGGTCAGCCTTCTGAGGCACAAATCAGGAAGGAAAAGGGTGGAGAGTAGGTTTGAGGGGATCAACAGAAAATACCTTGCACAGGAAGCCACCTCTCCCTAGTTCTTAGTCCATGAGATTTGAGAGTTACTGACCTCACCCTAGTTCCAGAGGTGAACTCATGGCCCAGCTCTGGCCTGTCAGATATGTCATGCCCCTTCTCAAGAGAGTGGTTTAGTAATACACAAGTAACCCAAGTTAGACCAACAAGCAGCAGTCCCAGGACTTTTATTGAAAGCACTAAGGAAAAGAAACTCTTTCTGCTGGTAAGGGTATAAGCAGCCATTCTGCCATCTCATTGGGAAAGGCATCTTGAGAATGAAAAGTCAACAAAAAGGAAAACAGGGGCAGGATATGGAGATCAGACTAAATCCTGATGTCGCAGTTTAAGCCCCTGGATCCAGCCATGCCTGAAGCCCATGACTTTTCTGTTACATGAGTCAACGAATTTCCCTGTTGCTTAACCCAGTTTGAATGGTGTATTGCAGGTGGGAAAAAGAAGACTCAGACAATATTTAATACTTATGCCAAAGACCAACACAAAGGTATATCTATACGTCTCTAAATACACCATTATTTCTATGGAATGGTCTTTCTCATATTCTCCATGTAGAAAACTCCTACTCTAATATCCTCTAATATCCTGAACTGCGAAGCCTTCCCTTAATTTTCTAGGTAGAATTGCTCACTTCTTCCTCCACTTTGTCAGCACTTGCGAAATGCCTCTATGAGTGCATGTATAAAATTGTATCACAATTAGCTGTTTGCTTATCTGTTTTTTCTAGCTGTGAGCCCCTGAAGAGGTCGATTTGCAAGCCCAGAGCACAGGGCCTGATATCTCAGGGAAACTCTGGGTGAAGGCTAAAGCAGCCTTTTTATTTTAGGACCTCTCAGAGCCATTTGTGTTAATGTGCATTATGGATCCCCAAACAGGGGTACAGAATGCTGCAATTTCCCAACTCTTGACCTAAAAACTCAATTTTTGCTGAAGTTGCTGTGTTAGAGGAATTTAGAGAAGATTACTGTGGTCCTTAGGGTGACCTTCACAAAAGAAGTGGCTCTCAATAAATATGTTAAGTTAATGAAACGGAAAAACTTGGTTAGATCAAGGTTGGGAGCAGGGGCAGCCAAATTGGAAGCAGCAGAAACAACAAAAGCAATGAGCAGGAAGCAAGAGGGAGTGACCCATTAGACATATCTCTCTGATAATGCAGGATCAACAGTTAAAGAGTGATTGCGGCCCAAATCCAACCCCGTTTCCTTAGCTTTAGTCTAACAGAGATTAGATATATTCTATACACTTTGATTTTTCTTCCTTCCCCCGTGATCCAAGTGCTGAATGCCTGACAACACTGCCTCCTTGATTTTGACCTTCAATTTGCTTCACTTGACTCTGAGGGGACTATGGTAGGTGATCAGAACTGATTTTCTTCCAATTGCACATCCTTAAGACAAATTCCTTTCTTGTTCTGTGCCTCTGTTTCCCTCTCTGAGAACTAAGGAAAGAAACATGGTCTCCCCCCAAAGTTTGGCCCAGATGCCTTGTAAAAAAATAATGATAAATTAAATAATAATATCTGCCAAAGAAAGCGCCAGTCCTAACCACCGTAACTCTGGACAACCCATTGAACAGCTTAGGCCCTTGCTCTATTTATTTGTAAAGTAAGCATAATTATGCCGTTGGCCGCATCGGGAAAGCCCAGCGACGCCGGCCCAGCGCGCGAGCCCAGAC